AGCCCTCGTCACTGCCATAACAAGTTAGAAACCAGTGACAATAGCATCTATCGTGATTTTCCATAGGTAACCCAAAAATACGCCCAAACTTACTCTCATTAGTGGGATTCAGCGATGATTTTCTTCGTTGCTTCGTTTCTTTCTTCGGTTTCGTCAAGGTATCTGAGTAAGGAAGTATTTGGTTAAGGAAAAGCTTGAAGACTGCTAAAAAGTAGGATAAAAAATAATAGGCAATACATATAGTGCACTCCGCAGCTTTAAGTGGATTCATGGATGTGTCCGAACTCGTTCAGTGCCAGAGGTGGGTAGGTAACGTGTGCAACTAAAATATACTCGCTTCAAAAAGCGTGGATAGCAGTCTTGAAGTCAAAATTCATCCTCAGTTGGGGCACTAGATGTTTTCGTGTCTGCCGTAAATGCTGTGTAAACACAAATGCTTACCTCATGCTATTATTTTCTAAGATTAGTAAACAATTCAGATGTTCAAACAAAGAAGTTGAATTAAATTATAAATTATAGTAACTTACCAATGCCGCTACCATTATTCGTGGAAGTCCTATAAGAAAAGTCAGATCTTAAATTTATTCAGACGGAGTATTAACTGTATTAAACCCACTATACAGATCTCAAATCACTGTCTGTAATTAAACTGCTCACCCATCCCCAGCAACCGAATCGCAAGATACTTCTGCATTGTGTCCTTCCAACAGAAGGCGCATCATCTCTTGATACTTTTCTTCCTCTTCAGCGGGCCAAGGCCCAAAGGCATAAGCGCTAGATTTGACGGCTTCTTGAGAAACGGGACTCTCAGCCTCTGAGATAGCAAGGGGCAAGTAACTGTGGGTCACTTGAGCTGGCGAATTTGAGTGCAGATTCTCCGAAGGCGTAGTCTGATATGATGAAATTACCCTTTTGCTCACCAAGTTATCATTGACATCGGCCAGACTAAACGAACCGTTGCCATCGGCATCGCGATTAGAAACAATTAGGTTACTGGGTCCATTCGACCTGGCCGAACATTCACCCGTGAACTCAGCAAAATTTACTTTTGAAACATCAGAGTTGATCGCTGCGAAAGACTGAATTGGACCAATAGCGATGGGCCTAACAACGGATCTTTCACGAGAAATACCCAGAGTTAAAGGATTTCGTTTGACTGCATCCAGTAAGTTGGGACGTTCACGCGGTTCAATTGCCCAAAAAGCCCCGCGACCAGGACCCTAAAATTAATAAAAAACGCTATCCCATAGAATAATTCAGAGAGCAACATTTGCTCCACATCACAACATCGAAAAGTGTAAAGTGATTAACCTCCAAATGGTGCTCGTGTTTGTGACACCTATTGATGGGCTTGATTTATCGAAGTAATACATAGCTAGGATACAGTGCAGTGCTTATTTCTGACAGTTAAGCGGGACTAAATCACCTCGCAAGAAACCATCTCATCAAAATGGATGGATGATCCGTAAAACAGAGTCCGGTTAGAAGGCACAAATCTTTCAATGTTGTCAGCCTAAAGTGCAAGCACTAGAATAAATATCACGGAAATTTATAAGATGGCTGTACGTGAAAAGAGACTTACACGACCATCACGAGGCAACCGCTTAAAGGATTTGTTTATCGAAAGGTTGTGCCGTAAGGAGTTCTTCCAACCAGTTGCAGAATGTTTGAAAAATGGAAAATTGGTTTCACACCAGTTGTATATTTGGTTGACAGTCATGCATTTGGTTGGAGTTGATTCAATGGCCATGAAAATAAGGTGGGTATAACTGTACAGCGGCTTTGCGAAATTCTCACCATAGGTATTTGAATAAGGCGAACCGAAATAAGGATGCATTGAAGTAGAACTCGCAGAGAGCGAAAAAGAGCTTGCCACGGAATTTGAAAACGCGCTACTATGCTCATTAATCCTGTATGGCTGCCTGTTTTCCAGCACATTAACGGTGGAGTACCTCTCATCGCGCATGAACTCCTCCTCGTTATCGAGGGGAGTTATTTTTATTATGTCTCCTTTTTGAAGCCAAGACAAAGACAAGAGATCATTTGAAGCATAATGCTCCTTCGATAAGAGTAAGTTACTTCCGTTCACTTCATTTGGCCTTCGAGAGCTGTCGTTAATCAAAGACTGAGGATATCCTAGTGTTATTACTCTAGATCCGCCTTCGCATGGATTCACAATATCGGGACTAACATCAGACATCTAAAACGAGCAAACATTTAAATTGGTTAATAGCGTATGACAGCACTAGCACAACAAAATAAAAGCAATGAACCCAAACATTACAATTTTCACTCGATTCTGCATAAGGAAACAAGACGCAAAGTTATATTCGATATAAACAAGCAATTACATTTTGTCTGAGCAGCATAACAAGTGTTGAAAAGAAATGAGGCAGTCGCCCACAATTACGTGCAAATCTTGCAAACGAATAGGCGCCATTAACGATAGACGCCAGCTTTCAAGTCGAACTTCCGGCGTTGATAAATATATTTAGCACATTAAAACAAATGCCACAAAAAAGACAGTAACCAAAAAAACGAACAAACAGAAGATCAGACCAGCATAGCGTTTAAGTTCATCAATAAAGAAGCACATTCTCGTCGAAGTTCACGGACTTGAAATTGAACATCCGACTGATCACGCCTAGCCTGAAAATAAACAAATTAGAAAAAAAGTTACCCTCTCTAACTCGCGATCCACTTCCGCGGTCAAATTATTGGAGGTATTTGCAGCCTCAACAGAAAGAAGAGAAGCGATTCGCGCCCCAATCGCTCTGAAGACTGTTACTTGACAAAATCCACATGCCTCTCTGCAGCCAACAATGACGACAGCTTTGCAAACTTATTTGCCACGTCACTTGATTGCTCATTGAAACGGTTCAGAGAAAAACCTAATGTTCATCAAAATGTGCACTATGCTGCCTACCTGAATGTTCGCCGCGAGCGTCCGTGAATTCCTCGACGAGGCCGGATATGAATTCGCCAGAAGCTCGTCTTCCAGCACCCAGGTTTTTCAACTTACTCACGTCCATAAAATCATCTTCCTCACACATCTTGTAAGACTCCTAAGGAGTTTTCATAACTTTATTCCTTCTCACCACATTGGACGGCCTGCGAAATTGTAATGTGTCAATTAGGAAACCCGGTACTTTGGGTTGAATTCGACCTGAGGATAAACCGCCTTGTGAATTTGCGAATTTCTTGGGGATCACGAGGTCAGGAACATAGGTTGTCTGCATCCCTTTGTAGACATCTTCAGTGGTTAATGGTTCAAACTTTTTCAAAGGCCGAAAAACCCGTTTTTCAAGGGGTATGGCACCACACCATAGATAAGAGAAACGCAATATTCCTTTCTTCTACAAAGAAATCATTCCTCTGAGTAGCTTGTTGATAAAAGGGAGTAATGAAGATCCAACTGACTTTCTTTAGCTTCTCCGTTACTTTTATACAATAGAAAGGTAAGCTTCATATATCAGATGCAATTTGCATCTAACTGAGGAATGCTTTAAAATTCCGAAGAATATTGCCTAGAGTATGTAGAACGGGCTGGAGGATCAATAAGAAATCCTAACTCTGTATTATCCGTCGGAAATGCTTGGAGTCGGAACAAAGAAGTACTCACCCCAGAAGATTCATCACTTGAAGAAATTGGTTTAACGCTGAAGGTGGCTGCAAGCCAAAGCGCGATGGCATATTTGGCGAGACGATCTGAGAAGCGTTGAAATGCTTTTTGGCGTCGAATATGGACGGTTCGCACCGCCGTGAGGTATATTATCCAGGCTCTCCACACCCTTGCCTGCAGAGTGAGCGCCCAATGCCAGAGCGCCACCTTTTCCAGTGACCGCACACGTTGCACCTCCTTCTGCGCCTCCACCCACCGGGCGAAGTAATATACCTGGGTAAATCAATGCCTACAATCGGCCATCTACTTCAATCACGTACACGTCCTGATTAATTAATACG